AGCGGTAGAGGTCCGCTCCCGAGGTGGGTGCCCGGGTCCCCGCGCCAGGAGCGAGCGCCCGCCCGGACCCCTGGAAGCAGGTGGAGGGCAGCGCGCCGGGAGATGGGGCTTGTCGGGGGTGCCAGGCAGCCGTTCCGCGGCGGGAGCACAGGCCGGAGCGGGGCCGACGAGCCCGTCCCCTGGCTCGCCCGCGGCTTCCCAGCCCGTTTATACCTGCCAAGCCCTTTCTCAGGACGAGCCTTGCATGGACGCACAACTGCGTGGAGCGGGGGCCTGAGGGGCGGCGCTGGCCGCAGGGAATGGTGCCCGCCGCCCGAGGCCGCAGGTACTGGGAAGTCTAGTTCGCCTTCGTGCGCTAAGGATCTGGAGGGAGCGCTGAAGCTGAAGTAGGAACTACGCGCCCATGCGCCCAGCTGCTGGGAATGGTTTGTTTGCACCCTGCCTACCATAGTGGGTTAAAAAATGGTTATGTTTCTGTTTAAGATAAAGTTAGGGCTATGGAATGGTGTGTATAAAGGCATGACATAGCGAGTGATGAAACCTGAGCTAAGAAATAAATGCACAAGCGTTTCCCAAATCCTGGAATGCTCTGGGCCTGCCAAGGACAACTGACAGCCGGCAGAGCCTGAGATACAAGGAGCTAAGGTACCCACACCTGCTCTAGGCCAGACCCAGAGGAGCAAGTGGCCACTGCTGCCTGTGGGGCAGCTTGGACAACAGCCCTGGTCTGAGCCAAGAGGTCAGAAGGTCTTTCCAGGGTGTTCTAGCCAGCCCTGAGTAAGCCCCAAACCACCAATTTCCAGTCACTGTGATTTTGGGGCTCAGGTGGGGAAACAGAAAAATCCAGAGATTAATAGCCTGCATTTTCCTCTTAGTGTGCGAATAAAGATGTTTTATTCCCCCCCCTCATATACACACATCTGCAGAATACTGCAATGGTTCTGTGTCATTAAACCTTTAATTACATAGCTATTTTCAAAAATCATGTTCAGAGATTTTTCCAGAGGTGCCAGAGTTGGCAGGTGGCCAGTGCAGAAGCTTAGCCCTCACCCCTTCAGCAAATGCCCTCTGCCAGCTCAGGGAAAAACCCCTCCATGCCCTTTTGCACTACAAAGTCAGAGAGCAAGGCACCAAGGGCATGGCAGGGTTGAGCTGTGTAGCCACCTGGCAGATTTCACCTAGAGATAAGACTTGAGGATCAACCCAAGCCAGGGAATTGGGTTCCCAAGTGCCCTCAGGGATTCAACTACTGGGCTGTTGGGTCCATGGTGAAGGGAGGCCTCTAGCCCCTAAAGCCTCTCATTCATACTCAGGTGTCCTGCCAGAGAGATACCTGTTCCTGTTAATTTAATTCCCATTTCCATGTGTCCATCAGTGAATCATTCAGATGTGCCTCTATTCCCACACAGTCCTGAGAGCTTCAGGTGGGCTAGGGGCTCACAGTTTACAGGTAGCCTGAGCCACTTTGGAGCTGGTTTTTCTGTTAAGAGCTTGACAGATAAAGGTCCCAGCTTCCAGGAGCTTCTGGACGTTCACACCCTTTGAGAAACAAGTTGAAAGATGCAGTAAGTCATGACATGCCTTCAACACCCAGGGATACATCAGACTAGACAGACAAGTGTGATACTGAAAAAGTAAAGGTGGCCCTGGCCGGTGTGGCTTGGTTGGAGTGTCCTCCCATGCACCAACCAAAGGTGGCGCGTTCCATTCCCGGTCAGGGTACATACCCAGGTTGCAGGTTCAGGCCCTGGTTGGGCATCTGTAGGAGGCAATGATCGATGTTTCTAAAATCAGTGTTTTTCTCTCTCTCTTCCTTCCTCTCTCTCTAAGAAAAAAGTTAAAAAAGAAAAAGTAAAGGTGAAGACAGATAGACTCTTGTTCCTCTGACGACAGACACCAGCTAGCTGCCTGTGAGGTCATGTCCTTCTGGCATCTGGGTTTCCCATGACTCCCCTTGTATAGGATGCCTCAATCTGTGTCATGGTTTTAGGGGCACCACCAGAATAGGGACCTATCTCATCAGTCTTGTTCAGTACTCCATCTCCAGGGCCTAGCACAGGGCCTGGCCCACAGTGGTCACAAACTGCATACTGAGCCTGGCCAGCGTGGCTCAGCCACTTGAGCATCGACCTAGGATCCAGGAGATCCCAGTTCAATTCTCGGTCAGGGCACATGCCTGGGTTTCGGGCTCCATCCCCAGTGGGGGGGTACAGGAGGCAATGACTCATCATTGATCCTTCTTTCTCTCTCCCTCTCCCTTCCTCTCTCTGAAATCAATAAAAAAAAAATACATTCAAAAACAAAAAAACTTCATATTGAAGTAATGAACTGTGAAGCAGAGAACAAAAACAGCAACTGAAAGGGCCACTCCGGAAAACCTCGGTCCATAACAATAGTTCCTATTTACTTAGTATACTATGTGCTCAGCTCTGGGCTAAGCATCTACACTTTCTTACCTAATCCTCATAACAGTCCTACAAGACAGGTGCTATTATTCTTCCCATTTCTTAGGCCCAGAGAGGTGAAGTAATTTGTCAGGTCACACAGCCTGTGAGTGGCAGGACCAGGTTTTAAACCCAGTTTTGTCTGATCCCAAACCACAGATGCTATGCCTCCAATCCTCACTGAGTGCCCTTACTGATCTGACAGAGCCCTGGGGAGGGGGGGGGGGCTGTCTAATTCTACTGCCCTCATTTGACAGAACAAAACAAAGGTCTAGAGAGAACGGACTCATTTCCCCATCACACACCTGACCTTTTGGGGGCTCTTTCCCTGGTGCCTCCTTAAACTGTCAAACTCACACTGAGAGCCTGGCCTTCTTGTGGCCTCGATCACCCACACTCTGCTATCTCAAAAATATACAGTAATCCCCTCGCACCCTTCAGCTTCTGGCTTCTGGCTTCAGGCAGAGCTCTGGTTAGTTCAGGTTTGTGGCAAAAGGAGGCAGACAGGCTTACCGTGTGAATGCCCAAGCCCTCCAGCATGTAGACCAGGTCCTCAGTGGCCAAGTTTCCCGATGCCCCCTGTGCATAGGGACAGCCTCCAAGTCCTGCCACAGAAGAGTCCACGACACTCACTCCCATCTGGAAACAAGATGGTGAAACAAGGCTGTTACTGTGGGGACCAGAGCCGACAAAGTTGGTCTTTATAAACCTCCCAACTGTCTGCTGCCTGAAATTCCACTGCCAAGTTATTCATTCCTTTGGTTTATGATTCTGTTAAAGTGAAAACCCCACTGAAAGAGTGTTTCTCTTTTTAGCTCCTGGGCTAGTGTGTTTTTGGTGGACCTATTTCCTCTGCCAGTAATCCTCCCTCAGTTCCTTTAATAGTTTCAAGGTTCCGTCTCACCCTTAAGGTCTCGGCCTACATGTCACCTCCTCAGAGAGGCCCTACCTGGTCGCTTCCTCCCACTGTTGAGATTTCAGATCCCTGTTGTTTACTGTGATTTCCACACCCTTTCCCAACAAGGCTGCTCTCTAACCCCAGGGGATCTAGGCTATTTACCTAGGTCAGTCATTTCCCACTCTCCTAGATGAGTGTTCTCACTTTCTCCTCTCTCCTTAAACCTCCAACAGACCTTAATCTGGACAACCACAACTCTGAGAAAACAGACCCAGAAATTAAGAGAGTCACTTGAGACATGAACTCCTCCCAAAGGCAACAGGGTGGAATCAGACTAGTGCTACAGCAAGGCAGCCTGTGGTCAGACACTGAGAACTTTCCTTCTAACGGGCAGCCAGGCCATGGACTCCTCATGTGGGGCCAGCCCAAAAGAAGCAAACCTCAAGGGAAACCCAATCTGAGGGTTCAGTCCAATCTCTGGGAAGCAGCATTAAAGGCTCGCCCTCTGACCTCTGCCTACCTCCCTGCTGCCTGGCTCCTTGCCTGCTGCTCCCACACAGAGGGGCACTCACACACCCACAACCCGCATGCCACCCCAGGGCAGGGTACACAAGCCCTCCCTGAACCCTGCCTTGGCCTGACAACACAGTGCTGCCAAACCACCTTTCTGCTTCCCTTGTTCAACTGCTGGCCTTCACGCCCTTCAAGCCTCACTCAGTTGTCTTCTGGCAAATCCTCTCTCACCTCCCAGCTGGGATGGGGACCTTCCTCGGCCCCTGCTTCCTCCCTTCGTGGCATTTGTCATAGTGCATTAGGATTACCACATAACTCCCTGTCACCCCTCACACACAGATTAAGAACTTTGGGGGCAGAATCCGTCATGATTAGCCCAGGGCCTGGCACACAGGTATCAGCACTCAGTAAAGGCTGGCTGAAAGCACAGACAAAACAGAGCTGTCCTGTTGCCATGCCCTTTGGGAGAATGGACACATGCTTTCTCCTAGGACATGCCAGGATTACCTGCAAGGCCATCAAGGTGTTGGCCAGAGCCTGGCCATAGGTATCATGACAGTGGACAGCCAAAGCAGCCACTGGCACCTCGTGCATGACAGCAGACAGCATATCCTTCATGATGCCAGGGGTGCCCACACCAATGGTGTCCCCCAGGGAGATCTCATAGCAGCCCATTGAGTACATCTTCTTGGCGACCTAGGAAAACAAGCAGGTACTTGTAGGACATTAGATTCCCCAAGCCAGGGGTCCAAGAGCTCAGAGACAGGGGTCCCTGGCCTGTGCAGAGCACCTCCATGTCCGAGCACTAAATCAGTGGGATCACAGGCTCCTTACAACTCTGAGTGGAATGCCAGTCCTCATTCTGCTCATCAGGAAACTGGGATGTAAGGGTCAGGCTCTGGGGCTACAACCCCTGTGCTTTCCTCCCACCCCGTGTCTCAAACTCCAGTCCTTCACTTACCACCTTCACACACTGTATCAGACCCACATACTGGAATCAGTAAAACTGACCCCTTTCTTGTAGCTTTATCCTCAGTAAGAAGATCTGTGAAATCATGGGTCTGAGGTGCTTGCTTTATATTTTTTATAGAAATATGTAACTATTTCAATTTTTAGAAGCCCATTTGCAAACCCCTAAAATCACTGCGAAACCAGAGCAGTATATGCCTGGCCCAAGGAAATGCTTCCCTACATCGTGCTGCTGAGAAGATGGAGGAAAGATGTGGTGGGGCCAAGGACCTAGAAGACACTCAACAATGGTCTGCCACATAAAGGAAATGGTGAGAGGAGTGACAGGAGCCCAGCAGCCTGTGGGGCAGAGGGGGCAACTGAAGGAGCAGTTCTAGAGTGAGAAGACACTGGATTGAAATCGCAGTTCTGCTGCTCACTAGCTGGGGGACATTGGCAAGGGATTTAACTTTCCTGAGCTTCAATTTCTGCTTCTGAAAACCAGTGAGGAGCCTGCGAAGGGGTATGGCAGCAACGGGAGGCTGAGGCCTGGAGCACAGCAGTCACTCTCAATCCGCAGGTGCGACTGCTACCCTTCCTCATTTTTGGATGCCACATGGTGTTGAAGGAAGAGCAAGTGGGCTTTGGAGGTAAACGAGATGACGGTTGAGACCTGGTGGCACCATCAGCAACCTGCATGGCAGGTTAGTCTCAGTTTCCTCAACTTTAAAATGGGACAACACTGAATTTGCAGTGTGGTTTTTGTTGTTGTTTTAAGCGAAAGCAAAAGTTTATTGAAGGAGAGACAAAAGCTCCTGCCGCAGCGAGAAGGATCCTGAACAGGAAGCCTTTAGGATTGAAGACTAAATGCCGTGAGCTCTTGTGTCACTCAAACTCAATTTCTGCACTGTGTTCTTCTCAGGGCTGACTTGGTTGCTGCTCAGAGGATGTCAAGTGGCCTCTCTGACTATGACAAGGAACTGCAGGAACCCTTGGGAGAGGAGCCTCTCTGCAAAGGATTATCACCTGTCCACTGACCAGACTGGAAACTCAACTGGAGGCATTCACTCTGGGGTAGAGGGCAGGGGTGTGAAGAAGAAGTCAGTGACCCACCAGGAAAGGGTGGCGAGAGGAACCTATGCACTCAGGGACAGGCCAGGCAGCCAACCCTCACCAAACCCCCTCCCTGACATTCACACACACCTCAGCTACTTTGGCCGGGGACATCTTCCCTTCATAGGGGCATCCAAGCACACAGGAGACGTACCTGTGGGAAAATGGGAGGAATGGTGTCAATGCCCCTGGGTTCTTTGGCCAGCAGGGCTGAGGCAGTGTGGCTGTTAGACACACATTCCTGGTTAGCCTGCAATCAAAACTTGAAGCTGGGCAGGAGGCCAAAGTGTCTCAGTGAAAGCCTAATTCAAAGATGTGGAGCCAGAATGAAGGTACTGCCACTTAGTGCGGGGAGGGGGCAGTGGAGAGCCAGAGCAGGGAAGGAGGGGGACTCGCAGGCTGGTAGTTCAGGAAGTAGGGCCTGCACAGGTCTCTGGAGAGGCAGCCAGAGACCAGCAGGGAGGAGCTGGAGAGGGCAATATGAGCGGGCACCTGAGCCATGCAGAGGTGAGACAAAGCAGAAGGTGGGCCAGGGCAGGAGGGGGCCCGGGACCCATGAAACCAAAGGCAGGAATAAGAGCTGGGCTGGCCTGCTCTGGTGAGCTGCCCGAAAACTCACTTATTCAACTGACATTTACTTAGTTGCCCACTATGGGCCAAATCCTAGGGTATCTCAGTGAGCAAGACTGATGAGGTCCCCACCCTCAAGATGGTTATTTCAAATTAGGGAGGTAGCTGAGGTAAAGGGCAATCAAATAATGTAATGAATCTCAGAAAGCGATGTGCTGTGAAAAAAAGGGCAGGGAATGTGGAAGGAGCAATTAGAGGAGGCCAGCAGTAGCTGGGGTGGCCCAAGAAGACCTCTGTGAGGACACAACGCTGCAGCTGAGAAGGGCAGATAGCCACAGGAAGAGCATTCCAGGCAGAGAGGAGCCAGTGTAGAGGCCCTGAGCTGGAAGAGTAGGTGTGCTCAAGCCACAGAACAAAGGACGGAAGAGCTGAGGCGTGGAGAGCGAGGGGCAAAGAAGTACGACATGAGGTTGGAGAGGTGGGCCTGGGCCTGATCGCAAGCTACGGTAAGGAGTTTGGGTCTTGGATGTAGGCGGATTCTGTTCCCACCCACACCATTGGAACCTGGGCTCCTCTAAAACCTTTCAGAGTCTAGCAAACTATTCGGCACATTAAGAGGCATAACAAACTTCGGTCTCAAAGACCTCAGTATATTTTTCCATTTTAATTCTCCCCCTTATTTTCCAGTCGTCGCTGAGCAAGGAAAAATGAAGAGACACTGAGGAGAGGCTTGGGAGTCAGGCAGACCTGACAAGCCCCTGCCTCCCCCTCCATCCATCCATCCACCATCAGTTCCTGAGCACCTACTGTGTGCTGGGCCTTGAGCTGGGAGAGGGGCACACCAGGGACAGAGAGAGATGTGGGCTCGGACTAGTGAGGTAGGAGGCAGGGACAATTTAAGTGCTATGTGCACTTAAGAGCGCCAGCTAAGTGCTATGTTAGAGGATGTCTAAGGGACTGCAGGAGCCCAGAGGGGTGCTAACTCCAGCTGAGGGACAGAGAAAGCTTCTTGGAGAAACTGGCAGCCATGAGGGGACCTGAAGGATTAATAGGAGTCAGTCCTGACAAGTAGGATGTAGGAGGAAGAGAGTTCTGAGTCTATGGAAGGTGTGTGCAAAGGCCCAGAGGTGCAAGAGAGTGGGAACATGTGACAAATGGAAAGACATTCCAGTTGGGCTGCAAGGGACCAGTGCACAGTGAGGCTGCACAGAGAGCAGGGGCTGAGTCACACAGGGTCTTGTGAGCCACGGGAGAAAGTCTAGAGTTGGCAAGTCACTGGAAGGTTTTTAACCAGGAAGTGATGTGCTTAGATGTGCACTTTTGAAAGCACTCTGGCTGCAATTTGGACAGCTTGACCTTACAGCAGACTCTTCATCCTTCCTGATCCTCAGTTTTGTCACCTGTAAATGGGGCCAGTCCCCTCCTTGCTGGCCAATTGTGAAGTTACATATGACGATTCCTGGCACTACTGCTATTAAAGATGTGGTCTTGGAGGCCTAGGCGATTCTTCAGGGGCATGTGAAGAGTTGGCAGTGGAGCCAGGAGTAAAATTACCTCCACAAACTGTGTCCAGTGTCCTTTCCTGCTAGATTGCCTCTGGTGAGCCGACCCAAAAATCAGGTTTGGGGAAAGCACTTGCTAGGATTTTTTCTAACCTAGGATTTCTCCCTAGAATAAGGAGTTTGTGGGGGAGGGTCACTTGGGTCAGAGTCTGGTACTGGCCAGAATAGTACTGAGGTAAAGCCAGGCAGCACCGATGTTGTCTGACTCACCCCCGCACAGGGATACTAGCTGCTCGAGCTGCCTTCAAGACTTGGTCAAACTTCTGTAAACTCTCATCTATGGTGCAGTTGATGTTCTTCTTGGTAAAGAGCTCAGAGGCAGCTCCAAAGATGGTCACTTCCTTTGCTCCTGCAGCAACCTGCCAACAACCAGGACAGTACTTTTAGCATTCTCCTCTTCAAGGAAAACCAGAGTGGCAAAATCCCTTATCTTACAATGAACTTTATGACATATGAATGTCATGGGTTAAATTGTGTCCCCCCACAAAAACGGCATGTTGAAGTCCTAAACCCCAATACCTCGAAGTGTGTTCGTATTTGGAAATAGGGTCATTGTAGATATAATTTATTAAGATGAGGCCATATTGGTTCCTCTCTAGTATGACTGGTGTCCTAATAAGACAGCAGCCATGGGAACACAGAGAAACATGAGGGGAGGCAGAGATTGGGGGGATGCACCTACAAGAATGTCAATGATTCACCCCAGGGCCCTCAGATAGAACCAACCCTGCTGACACCTTGATTTCAGACTTCTAGCCTCTAGAACTGTGAGAAGATAACATTTCTGTGGTTTTCAACCATCCAGTTTTGGGTATTATGGAAACTCTGGAAAATTAATACAGTGAATTACATTACATCTCAATGAGAAAGAAACCTTGGCCTTCCCCCAGGGACCAACACTGCCACTGCCATCAGCACCCTGGAAGTCGGTCACTCCTAAAAGACGCTTTTTACTTCAGTTTAGAATCAGTACCTCCAAAGATGTTCTCATCTAAAATTTTAAGAAAGTTGGCAGATCCTAGCAACTACTGTTGAAGCTCTGTGGGGAGCTTGCTTATTTCTCTAAAGAAGAAATGGGTAAGAACAACAAAAGCTACCGTTTATTAAGCACTTACCTTCTACCAGGCTCCTACTAAGCAATTTATGTGCATTTCATCTTCTGAAATCCTCACAATGTTACAATATCACTAGGCCTATTTTATAGGCAGAACCTGAGGCCTGTCAAGATCAGAGAGCTGGAAGTGGCAGGGCCAGGACTGCCTCCTGTCTGACAGTGCTCATCACCACTGGAGACAGCCCTTCAGACTGACATCCTGGAACAGGGACTGAAGCCCAGGGACAAGGCAGGGACCAGTGCCATCAATCAATCTCACTCAGGGGCCCCCATCAAAAAGCTTACTGCTGCCTGGTAGCCTTTGAAATTTGGGGTCAGGACTGGGTAGCTGATGCCAGGAAACTTCTGGATGCCCTTCAAGACTTCGGTGTGGTCAGCCATCTGGAACCAAAGGAGACACAGCAGAGTCATCACCAAGGGCAAGCAGAGAGCTCAGGTAGAGAAAACCGTTTTATCACAAGATCTCTGTTCTCCAGACCCTTAGCAAATGAGTCCTTCTGCAGAGCTGAGTCTCCCCAGTGCTTTTACTACTTGTTTGACTGCTGATGGGCCAGAAGGCCCCTGGGTGTGGGTGTTAGCCCCAATTTCTCCATATGGCTAATACTGTCAGCTTTAGATAGCAGTAACAGCTGTAACAATAACTACCAGTCATTTACTGAGCACACAGGCCAAGCCAGGCACTGGGCTCAGCTCCCCTGTGTGATCTAACACTCAGCTGGAACGGGATCTTTCTTCCCCACTTGACTGTCTCTATGAAGCAGGCATCATCAATCTTTCCCCTTTACAAACGCAGACACCACAGGCCAGGCCTAGAGATTCTAGATTTCCAGACCAGAAGAGGTCATCCTCAACCAGGAGAGGCATGGCCTTAGCAAGGTCACCAAGCAATTCCAGGGCAGAGTCCAGACTGAATGCAAGCCTCCCGCCTCCCAGGTTACACTGTTTTGCTGCACCATGCTCACCTGAGGAACCCACTTGGGGGACACAAAGCTGGTGGCTTCTATGACGGGAAGCCCTGCTTCAGACAGCATGTCTATCAACCTGATTTTCACGGGAGTAGGTACAATGCACTGCGATGGAGAGACAAACACCAGAAAAGGCAGGTCAGCAGAGCTGTGAAGAAAATGGCCTCAGAAAGACAGCCTGGCCCTGGCCAGTCTGGGTCACTGGCTAGAGCGCCGGCCCGTGGACTGAAGGGTCCCGGGTTCGATTCCGGCCAAGAGCAGGTACCTCGGTTGCAGGCTCAGTCCCCAGCCCTGGTCAGGGCATGTGCGGGAGGCAACCAATCAATATGTCTCTCTCACATCAATGTTTCTCTCTCTCCCTCTCTTTCTTCCCCTTCCACTCTCTCTGAAAACCAATGGAAAAAATATCCTGAGGATAAAAAGAAAAGAGAGCAGAGCCCGTTAGTTCAAAGCTTCTGCTACAGCAAACATTTCACTGTCTCAGCTTTCAAACACTAACATGAATTCACATGTAATCCTTGCCAACAGGGAGGGTATGAAGGGGCTTGAAAGTTCTACAGTTAGTGTTTTGCAGTGCAGGCACCTTATCATCTGAAAAGGAGTTAATATTTACATGGAGACCATATTTTTCTGCCATACAGGCTTTTTCTCAACTAAATGTTTGTTAATTTATTACCCCATCATAAACAAAATGAGAGCAATTACCATGGCCTGAAAGAGCAGAGATGACTAACCCTCTGGGTCCTATGAGATGGGGACCCCAAAGTATTACACCCTCCTTTTCCATCTCCCAAGTGGCACAGGATCTCATCCTCACATGGTCAGCCGACTATTTCTCTTCCTCCCCGACCGTGTCTAGTTGCTAAGCAGATTCTATGGACTCCTCTTTCCAAATCTAATACCATTATCCCATGTATGTTATGTCATGGGATCACTCCACCAGTTCATCCCAGAAGAATCCTCCTAAAACAGTTTCCACTGTCTCACTCTACTGCTCAAAAGCCTTCCATGGCTCCCTAGTACCTAGAGGATCAGGTGAAAAATCCTAAGAACTTCAGGCCCCTTCATACCCTCCCCTCACAATCTCTCTTGCACTGCTTTAATGTAATCTATTCCACAGATAATTTCTGAGAGCCCTCCATATTCCAGGGATTGTGCTAGGTGCTAGGGGGTGCAATGATGAGCAGAACAGACATAATTCTGTCTTCGTGGAACTTACAGTTTATTGTTTCCAGCAAGTGCTCAATATTAAAATTATGTTGGTCATCCTTTTTTTTTAAAGCTTTCTTAATGAAAAAATAATATATGATTGTTTCTGAAATATGTGCCAAAAAAATAAAAACACCCTTAACACCTCCCAGATATGTAACTTTCTAGATCTGTGCAGTCCAATATGTTAGATACTAGCCATATGTGGTTATATAAATTTACATTTAAATGACAAAATAAAAATTCAATTCCTCAGCCATGCAGGTCACATTTCAAGTGCTCAATAGCCACGTGTTTGTTTAGTGGCTACCACATGGGATAGCTCAAGTGTAGAACATTCTGTCTTCACAGGAGGTTCTATTAGATAGCACTATTCCAATTTTCTGTGGGTTGTAAGGAACATCCCCAAGGCTAAATCTTTGCAGGTGGCTTCATGTCTTCCTTTGGATAAATCCTCTTACATGGAATTGCTGGATTTAAAGGCATGCCCCCCCCCCCTT